TCAGAGCTAAGCTGGTCAGAAGTGTCTGGATGAGGTGCTTCAGAAAATGGGAATAGAAGCAGCACAGGCTGGCTGTCCTGGTAGCAGAGTATACATTGCATGCAAACTTCACCCCAAGTCACTGAGTAACCCTCAACACTTTCATGTTTGTTTGCATTCAGGGTAGCTACGATTCACAGTTTGGTTCCTTCCGCAGGAAAGCTGAGGCTTGGGAATGATTCAGGTTGAAGCCCTCCCATGCCCTCCCTTGCCCTCCCCTCCCTCAGCCACATGGACATGACTGGTAGTCAAAGCAAGTCAACCAGCTTGGTCCCAGTCTGTCAAAATGACCTGATGGCCCTGCACAGTCCTTACCTGTCTCCATGTCCTAGTGCTGACTTGTACAGCATGGCTACACCTTTGATGTTCCACCCTAAAAACCTGTGTATGGCACACAGCATGAGAGGTCCTCCAGAGAAATATTCTGGATTGGCATGGGGAAAGGGCCTTAGAAGCTGAGGACATGTGTGCTCTTCCCAAGAAACATGCACTTTGTGGGACACTGGCCAGGCTTAAATTAAACAGCCAAGGTATGTGAACTGTTGAGGGACACCACTTGCCCTCCAGCCCTCTTGTCCCTCATTTGTCTGTGTCTTCTTGGCACAGGAAGATTTTCTGTTCTCTTGCTGTCAGCAGACAGTTCTCATGCCTAGCAGAGCCTAGCCACAAAAAATAAAATGACCCTCTCAGACCCTTCAAGCCTATCATGGACCGCCTCCCACCTGTGTCCTCCTTCTAGAGAATACGTATTTCCCTGAGTACATAATTCATGTTCATTGCAATAATTGCTGTTTATGCATACGTGATGCAACTCTAGATTCAACAGCTGTGTCTCCCTGAATTCACTGCTGTTCTCCAGCCCCTTTTGCCCATGTGTCTGTAGTGGCATTTGTTAGCCTTTCCTAGCCAGGAGAAAATAGAAGGTTTGAAACCACTTTTATTGGTTTTGCAGTGAACAGACCAGCCCTTTCTCTAGGATCAGTTAATTGTAGAATTATAGAACCATAGAATGCTTTGGGTTGAAAGGAACCTTACAGATCATCTTTCCCAGCCTCCTACTATGGGCAGGCACACATTTCAGAGGACCAGGTTGCTCAGAGCTCCATCCAACCCGGCTTTAAACATTTCCAGGGATGAGGCATCCTCAACTTCTCTGAGCAACCTGTTCCAGTGCCTCACCACCCTTACCACAAATAATTTTTTCCTAATCTCTTATCTAAAATTTCTTTCTGACAATTTGAAGCCATTCCCCCTTGTCCTGTCTCTCCAAGCCCTTGTAAACAGTCCCTCTCCACCTTTCCTGTGTGCTCCCTTCAGGTACTGAAATGACACAATTAGGTCACCCTGAAGCCTTCTCTTCTCCAGGCTAAAAATTCTCTCAGCCTTTCCTCATAGCAGAGCTGCTCCATCCCTCTAATCATCTTGCTGTCCTCCTCTGGCCTGGCTCCAACAGGTCCATTCTGTGCTGGGAACCCCAAAACTGGGTTCAATTTAAGGGTTGTAAACCTTCAGCAAGGATTCCTGCCTGTGTCAGTCCTCTGGCCAATCCCCAGGAAATCACAGGCAGATGAGGAGCTGCAGGCTGGTGGGTTCATCAGATGATACAAACTGAATGCTCCATACAGCCACATCAAAGCCTCTTCCACATTCTCCTCAGTTGTAGGCAAAAAGCTGCTCATTGCCTACCAGGAACCAAGGATCAGGGACACAAATGAACAACTCATGCAGGAACCCATAAACCAAAGGGATATTCTTGTACCATTCTATGTCACCTGTTCCTGGACCCACACAAAGAGTGCCATTGCACAAGGCAGTACTACAACACATGCAGCCGCCAGACAGAGCATGATGCAAATAATCTATTCAGAAGCTAACACAGCTCAAAACCTCGTCTTTGAGCTGTGAAAAAGGCAGAGTTCTTGCCATGCTTTGATAGACATGTTGAGACTGCTTCTCTCTGACATGACAAAAGGCTCAGAGATCTGTGACACTGTGACTCAGTTGCACAACTACCATCAAAGTTGTCGTAGGACAGACACCAAGCTGTCAATGTGACTCAAGGCGCTGGATCGGTCTGTGGCACGTCTTCCCTTACCTATTGACCAGAGATCTGTGTGTGTTTGCGTGGGCTGAAAGAACTGTACTGGCCTTGACTTGATGGAAAAGCTGATTTCCAAGCAAGGGGCAGGTTGTCCTCATCCTGTGAGCACTGTGACTTCTACAAACTGACCTGTCTGTTTCACAGAACCCATTTATTCTTTCAATATTGCTTTGTTATCTGTGCACCAGCCTTCTTTACAAATGGGTCTACCGGTGTGATGCAGCTCCATGACAATGGCAGAAATTATTTCAATTGCCACTGCGTGGGAGGAAGTGCTACAGTATAAAGGCGCCCTTTATATCACAGCTGATGAGCTGTGGGCTCCTGCACATCACAGAGCAGACACTCAGGGGTAGATTTGGTGAGGTTTGGGATGGAAAACTGAGTGGTAAGGTGGGTGGAAAATTGGCTGGGTCAGGATCCTGTGAGTGCTGTGAAGTCCAGCTGGCAGCCTGTAGTTGGTTGAGTCTCTCAGAGATGAATCTTCTCCGGAGTTTCCACAGAACTGCCCATATTTTTGTGCTTCCTGTGCTCACGGGCACCTCAGCAAAATGAAAGCAAACCCCTCCTTGCTGGTAGCCACTACCCTGCTGCATTCATGTACTCTGACTTTTAGAAGTTTTGTTACAAATTCTGGAGAGCAGGATGCTGCCTCCTGGGATCTGCAGGCTACTCCATATGGATCATAGGGCTGTGGCCTGGCACTCAGCTCCTCTCTTTGATGGTAGAGCAGCCCTCCTTTAATGTGATGCCAGCCGTGGATGGCAGTCACATGGTGCTGAGCATGGGACATTAAACACTATTAAACACTGCTAACTTTGACCAGAGATGGTTTTCCTTTGGGAAGGAGGAGGCCTGCCACCACCTGAATTTTTGTGGGGGTCACCAAAGCCTGTGTGAGTTGTGGCTTTCGGCTGTGGGCAGCAGCACAGGTGTCAGTGGTCAGCCCTGGGGGTGTCTGCTGCACCTGCACCACAGCCCTGTGCTGCCAGGAAATCCCCACTGCCTAAAGGCTAGAAGGGCTGCCCTCGTTAGCTTTGCCTCTGCTGTTACTGACTGGTTTTGCATCTCTTTGTAACTGCAGGGAACAGGCTCCAAATAAATTGTAAATGTTTTAATCCTCCTTAAATGTAGAGGAAGGTTAATAAAAATGAAAAGGGACATGACACTCTTGAGCAAGTGACAGAGAGGAACAAAACCTCTACTGCTTTCTTCTCTTCCCTATCTCAGGGACATTTTAAGGATTACTTGAAAGTCAGATCTCCACCAGACTTTATCCAAGAGTTCCAAAAACAACCTTTTGTTCAGATTACCCAGCACTTAAACCAATTGGAGAAATGCTTCTGCTATTCCAAACAGTTTAATCCATGATCAGTGTGATTAACGAGACCACCAAGGGAGGAAAGCAAGTTGGGTCTGCCTCTTGTAGGAAACACTTTTTTTTTTTTTTCCTTTGTGGCCCAAAATTTCCTCATTCTTTTTCTCAGAATGGTGTGAGAGAGCGGAAGTGTCTCAGTTTGAGATCTAATCTGCTCTGCCATCACAGGAAGCTATAAAAGTGTCAAACAAGCTTTCAGTTAGTATATTTTTCTAAATAAGAAGCCCTTTGGACGAAGCCTTACTGCTTAGACATCAGAGTGGTTACAGCTCATGCCCTTTGTTTCCAACTACTTAACCTTACACCTGTATCCCCTTGCCATCAGCCCAATAGGCAGAGTTTAATTCCTATAAAATATAGCAGCTCTTGGGTGTTTTGCTCTGTTGAAAGCTTTGCCTATGTCACTGCCACTGGCTAGGGAGGCCTATTTTCATTTGCAAACCTGTGCAAATTAACATTTCTCAGAGTATTTATATCAGGGCACAGCTCTGGTCTCTGTGGTTGTTAGTCCTTGACCCAGCTAACTCAGCTGCTTCTTGACAGTCACAATCACATTTAAGCTCACCTCAACATATTTTCACAGGTTCAGCAATTTTTCAGATGTCTTCAGAACCTGAAGACTAAGTGCCTCTGCCACAAAAGCCAGAAGATAAGCCCATCTGAGAGGAATTTAAGCTGAATTTAGTCCTTTTCTAACCTGAGGAGATGATAGAAGCCAATTCAAACCCATTATTTCAGAAGTTAAGTCATATTAAGTGATGTCAGTACTGCATGTCACGATACACCACTGGCTGGAAAAGCATTAAGAAACAAATACAGCTGCTTGATACAAGCTCTCACATCCTTCATCCCACCAAGGGTTCTGCATCCCCACCACACCTGGCAGTACGGAGTCATTGCTGCTAAATGCTGACATTAGTTGCTGTTATGAAAAGTTAAAACCAGAAACAAATCATAGTAGCCCCCTTTCTGGTGTATTTTTTTCTAAACAGAGTCTATTTACTCCAAATCTTTGAAATCTTGTTGATGCAATTTTCAAAATATACAATTTTTATACTACAGCCTTCAAAGCGTATTTGTGTATTAGGAGTCTGACAGCCATAGTCTTTCGAGAAGTCATGAAAAGTACAGAAAACACAGTGGGGAAAAGAAAAAGAAAGGGAGAAAAGCTTTCCATTTGTTTATAGCTTCTTCAGAAATACTCCTTTTTGGGGTGGAACTTTTTGTGTTTCATCTCTTCTGAAGGTGATTTTCTTTCAAGTTGTCAGCAATATGTGGAAACTTTTTAACATAAATGCAAAATGCCTCAAATTATGAAAATGCTGTGACTAATGACTGAGCAAAAAGTCTATTTATTTGATACACAGATCCTTATGCATGCTAAAAATGCTCAGTGGAATTACTGTTTGCTGTGTTAGTCTTAGAAGAGAGCAGTCTTTGAAATGTAATAACCACATTAAAAATCAAGTATTTTTAAAGGGCTTAAACACATGATTCTGTTTATTATTGAAGGAAGAACTCTAAAAGAAGACAGGCAGTTAAAATGTGTATTCCAGTGTGAAATATACTGGGAAAAGACAATAAAATCTCATATGAAAGACAGTCATGTACAATACCCATGTTATCTCCAGAGTTCTGTATACAAACAAATACTCTATTAACAAACTTCACACCACATACAAATGGCCACATCTTCACAAAACATTATCATAAAAGCATAGCACTGATCCTGATTTATTTATTTTTTTTTTCCAAGTTTGAATTCTCTGTATAATGCTTGGGACAAATGAGAACATGTGTGAAAAGAACCATAAAAAAATTGCCACTGCATGAGCCATTCAGATGGCTCTGTTCTTCCACAAGATAAGGACCACAGAGAGCTGAATTCAGATTTACCCTACAGTTCTTTTATGCCTCCAGGAAAAAGTACAGGAAATGATAGTCTACTTTACAGCTCATCTTGGAGAAAAGTGGTGAGAAACAACTTTAATATTAGTGAGAATTGGCTTGGTACTTTTCAAAGTAGGGTTTGACTGTACCCACATTTTTATTACGATGCTATATCAATGAAAATACATTCTGTACACAAATCAGCAAAACACAGCTGAAAATAGAGATTGTGATTAATCCATATGTTTTTAAAATAAATATGTACAATATTTACATTTTGGACAGTTCCAGAAATGAACATCTCCAGATCATGAACCAATACCAAAACAAATTCTCTACTATTATAGAAAATGCATTCACTGTACAAATATTTATAAATACTTTAGTATAAACTTTTTCAGGGAAATACCTGTGGATTTATTGAAAAGCAAAACACGAGCAATTCTTATTATCAACTAACATTTAGCTATCAAGTGTCCACATATGGAACAGTTTAGAGCATCATGAATCAGAAAAAAGTAGATTTTCAGTGTTGAGAATATTTTGTTCTGCTTCTGTGCCATCATGCTGACAAATGTGATTGTCTTTTCTGAAAACCTGCAGAAAAGCAGCAGGACCGAATCAGTTTGACTCACTGATTGTTATTGACTGCACCATGTCAGACAGGGCTTCTGGGTCTGCTTCTTCTTTACCATTATCTGAATTTTCTGATGAGATGTAACAGCCAGAATCTCTTGGACAGTCATTTAACTGTGATTTGTCAAAACTCTGGTGAAGGCTTAAGTTCTGCGTCTCCTGATCACCCTCACATTTCTGCTGTTCTTCAACTAGAAAGAAACAAAAAGAAAGAAAAAAATGTCAATGCAAGTATCTTGGGAAAGAGCTGAGATAGCAGCATGGCTGATCTTGAAGAACTTTGGAAACAGAGCTGGTAATCTACACATGACTACATCAATATGTTTTGTTCATCAGAAACAGAACCCCCAGCATCAGAGAATTAAAAGTATGATTACACAAGTGTAACAACATCTGAGTTGACATTGAGGTTGGTCTTTTTCCTTCTGGATGTTTCTCAGAGATGAATGCTGGAGGCTTTGGCGTGATGCTTTACGCTGAGGCCCTTCAGGCTGTGCACAGTGCGTGGTCACCGAGGCCACAGCAGGGATGGAACCTTTCCCCTTCCCCTGCTCACGTATCCGAGAGCGAGATACTGAATTAACCACAGAGCCCACTTGTTTTCTAACACACTGCACTGTCTAACACACACTGTCTCCTGAGTGCAACCCCCAGCACCTGATGTGCTCTCTGCAGGGAGACAGAATGTGCTGGCCTTCTGAAGCTCTCGGCACAAAGACGTGGTAACCAGCTTTTCTAAAGCCCCCAGCTTTTCTGCAGGAGTGGGTGGCTGATGGAAACTTCCTAAGCTTAGCTTGATATCCAGAAAGTTATTTTCCAAAACACAGAAACCTCAGAGGAAGCTAAGATGCTTGATTTCTGCTGCATGGTTTTTGAACACTGTTCCAAAACTAAGTAGAAGCAAATTATCTTGCAAATAATTTTCCCCTGTTTAAGCAGCTGTATGACTAATCTGCTCAAATTCAAAAATCTGGAAATCAGTGCCAGTATCAACAGATCTCTCAAGAGAAGCTCAACAAGAGAGGACATGCATGAATATAATGGCTCTTACATGTACTGGTTTAAAATTTCCTCTCCCTGTTCTCTGCTTGTGAAGCACAGAAATTTACTCACAGTAAATTTCTTAAGAAAATAAGCCATAAAATATAAATCTTTCCATTTCCTATTTTTTTCCTTGTGCTGTTATCAACCTCCTGTAGCTGTAGATTTACATCAAACTGTATCTGCCTTTCTGAACAAAGTGTAGGGAACACATCTCAGAGGAAACAGATGGTTTTGCTCCAGACTTTTAGCCCTTCAGTACCTTTTTGCTTTTGCAAAGAAAGTTCCCTTCTGCCACTTGATTTGTTACTCCTTGGTTAAACAGTCAGTTCTGGATCTTTAGTCATATCTAAACTGTCTGAATTCAAGTTCAGGCAGAATGGAAGTTCAAAGATATGAAGGATTAAATGCTGTCTCAAAATCTAAATCTATTTTAGTTCCTCGAATTTTAAAATTTCCACAAAGAACACCCATACTGACTTTTATTTCAATTGTTGGAAATTATAACATTTGGTAAAATGGGAAAGACTTTAAATTTGATTTTTTTTCCTATCTTGTATTGAATAACACAAAATAAATTAGAAATGTAAGACTGATTTTTTTCACTCTTTTAGAGTGAAATGGAACAGCGGGAGAGTTTCTTTGGAGAACTCTTTCATTGTGTGAGATTTCAATGAGCTTATTTCACAAAGCATTTTGAGCTACTGAGAAACATTTTGAGGAACTGATGGAAATTTGTTTGGCCTGATGGAATCTGCTTAATATCTTCTAGCTTCCAATTGCCTAATAAATTGAAAAACTAAGTTGATTTTTTAAAGAATCCAGACTCAGCTTAGTTATCTTTTCAATGAAGTCTGAGGGTATAGGCATAACCATATGTATTTAGAATAGTAATAACAAAAAAAAAAAATTACTTTAAATATTTTCCAAGGAATAAAAGTTCCACCTTGTTCCCAAATAAATTAATGGTTAATTGCACTTGCATGAAAGAGTACACGTCAAAGCAGATTTAATTGAGATCTGTAACTGTTTGATCTCCTTCTCACTTTACAGGACACAGTTTGTCATGTCAAATGTTATCTCTCTCTTTGCAGGGAAAATATTTGATCAGGTAGGGCCCAATTGATTTCTGGCTGAAGTCAGGAAGGAATCACAAAGACATCACACCGGTGAAGGCACTCCTGCTGCTGTTGGCAGCCACAGAAGGAGTTCAGCACAAACGAGAGCGATGCCCCAGCAGTCCTGAGCATCTTCAGCTCCTTGCAGCACCCTCCCACCAGGCAAAGGGAACCAAGTCTTGTGCAGCTCTCGGAGCCCTCCTGCCCTGCTGCCTCCCTCCTAATCCCCTTGGCTGCCTAATGCTGCTTGCTGCCCTTTCATCTGCTCTCCAGCATCATCTGCTGCCCTGGCAAGCACTGACCTAAAAAGTGTTAATCCTGTTTACATTTTCAAGGTCAGAGAGGAGCTTCCATCCACTTTGTTTGTTTTACAATGGAAAGAAGACCGAGTAACCATTGGATTAAAAGGAAAATGCGGTCTCAGTCACTGTATTAGTGCCTTGTAACTGCTTGTCTAGGTAATCCGAGCAGTTCCTATGTGAACAACAGATCCTAATTTATTGGTTTTTTTAAATCAATGTCTCCCTAGTGTGTTTCAGGGAAAAATGCACAGACAAGCCTGGAACTGAGATTCTTTTTTTTATTATTTATTTTTTTTTTATTATTTTTTTAAATCTGAATCTAGGTCAATTAGGAAAATGAGAATCTTCTGTTTAGAAGATATACTTATATGTAAATTTCCTGTAAATCTAGTTGAATTTTCTTACATGAAAAACTGAAAACTGAAAATATTCAGGTGTTTGAGACAATAAAAATGTTACTTTTTTTTGTTCATTCTAATCAGAAAAAGTTGGAAGAATACCCCTCCATCTCCATTTTTATGTAGACAAGACTGAAAGCAAACTTTGGTGCCTTTTTTTTCTCTTTAAATCAGTTTTAAATATTCTGCAGTAACTACTAAACCACGTGAACAGGATGCTGAGTATCATAAAAATACATAGCATGCAATTTTAGAAGTTGCTTCATGAGAAGAGCAAAGCAACTTTTGCTCTTTTTCTTTTTATTCTTTTTACACTTTTGGCTCTTCTATTCCTTTCTACTCAAGTCCTTTTTCTAATATGTACATGCTCAAGTTCTACATTAGGAAAGGTAGGTTTGCTGCCTTAATCTTTTGGACATCAGAAGAAAGCCACACTGCACAGAAAACAGGAATTGATAAAATTAAACTGCCTTTAGATGTTGCGGAATCATCAGAAATAACTATCTTATCAACAAATGGAAGTCCTATCATTTTTCTACAGTAAAGCAGTTTCACATAAGATAAATGGCTCTCAGTCACTGTTGTCTATGATATGGCCAGAAGAGCCCAAGATATGCATCATTTTGACACATATATTCCAGTACTCCTTTAGACAGTAGGATTATATTCAGACTTCTGAAAAAAATGTGAGGCCTTTAGCCTTGGTAAGAGATGTGTGATGCATCCCTTATCTTCCTCACTATTTAGACCTTTAAAATGAGGTTTTGTTATTCAATGACTTAGATCTGCACGACACATGCAAGGATAGATTTCTTTTTTCCTTCAGCAGCGATTTTCCCCTTTCTAATGAGGTTAAAGTCCTGATTAGGGAAGCACTTTAATCTTGGGTTTAAGGGAATTCAACTCAAGAATGCACAGAGGTCACTCTGACTCCTGTAAACCAGATGAGTGGCAGGAAGCTTGCATTTTGTCTTGGACAGAAAGAAGGTCATTCAGGAGCAAACCAAACTTCATGAGCGTGCTCTCTGAGAGTTTGCCTTTGTGAGTTTTCTCCTGAAGAACTGGGCTAGGAGTACCATGCTTTGGGCTGAGTCACTCGCCTGCCCTCCTGGGACGTGCTGTGGTGCTGTACTGAGCAGCACCTTTCAATAACTAAAGACTCAGAATCAGAGAATCACAGGGCACTTGGCACAGACCTCTGGAGATCATCTGGTCCAACCCCTGGAGCAGGTGACACAGGAATGTCACCAGGTGGGTTTGGAATGTCTCTGGAAAGTGAGCAGCTGTTCCAGTGCTCTGCCTCCCTTAGTGTAAAGAAGTTCTTCATGCTGAGATGAAACTTGTTGTGTTTTAGTTTATGGCCATTGCTCCTTTCCCTGACACTGGACCCCACTGAACAAAGTGAGTTTCTGAGAATGAAACCAGACCTCCTGTGAAGGTACACAGGCCACGTATCACCTGTACCAGTTAGACCATCTAAGTGTGAAAATGAAATGAGAACTCACAAAGCATCAGTCTCAAAGGATCATCTTGGAGCAGTAAAGGGCAGTAATTCTTGGAAAGGATGCAGAGAACATGAACTGGTTTGTGCAATACTTTGGGTATTCAAATGACTAAATATTTTGTGGATGTTTACAGATATGCAACTTAAAATACAGCATTCACTGAAATCAGTGGCATAGCTTTTGTTGGAGTAAAAAGTTATTGAACAGATGTGAGAACCTGTGGTGAAAACAGGAATGAGAAGCTTCTTTTTTAATCTAAAATCTGCAAGGAAACAGATGTGCCTAAAAAAAAGGAAAGGTGAAAAATACTAATGCACATGCAAGGACGAGCTTCCTTGGGAAATCTGGCAATATTATGTTCAGGCCAATGAGTTGTACCACAATACAGAAGGGGAGATTGTCTTTGAGCACTATTTGACTGACAAGATACTGTGTGATGCCATGTATTGAAAGGGACTGCCCAGTGTAAAATGGAATTCTTGATGCCTGGTTCTCACGTAAGGAATGTATCTGAGAACTGAAAGTCATATCTTTATCTATCCCCTACCTTGCTGTCCAATAATAAATAAAGAATAAACATTATTTGGTATTAATAGTGGAATTTAAATTATGATCTGCACTTAAATATGAAAAGTAAGCTAAGGAAATTGATTTGGGGAGATAAGTGTAAAATATTATCCCCCAGATTGCACACATTCACCTTTTGGGATTTTTCCATAAAATTAACTGCATGCATATATCCAATGAAGTCTATTTTTTCTTTAGCTCAGAATAGCTTTGGACTAGTGTAACCCAGTGGATTTCAGGGATGAACCTCTTGATTTAAATCATCTATGAGAGAAGAGGATCAAGCCTATCTTGCACACACACAAATGTGTGTCCTGGGAAGTGGTCAAGGGAAGTTCCAAACTTCTTTTATTACTTTATTCATTAACCATCCAGCAACTCCTTCACTTTAAAAATAGCATCCTACAAAAGCACAGACATCCATCTCCTGTCTAGGAGCCATCTGTGAGAAGAATGGAAAGCTATTAAGAAATACTTTATGAAAAACCTTTTTTTCTTTTTTTTTTTTCCTCACAGCCATGAATTCATGGAAACCAAGACTTTTGCCCCAAATATATAGGTCTGACCAACTTATAGAAAATATAAAATGATGTCTGAGGAGGGGGAGAAGGTCATGAGGAGCTTACAAATCCTTTCAGTTTTAGGATAGCCTTGCTACATGAAGTACTTGAAGATGATGAGTTTGGGCCTGGACTCCCAAGAAAAGGGAGAAAGAAGATAGTATAGTAATAGGAAGAAAAATATGCTTAAAAAACTCTCTGTGGTAGCATTTGCTAAATAAAACTTACATTTTTAAATTCATGGTATAAGATGGGTAAAATTTATTCTTTCAAATTCATTCAGGTCTAAATCAAATGTAAGATTAAAGAAATCACTGCCAAAAATCCTATGTTTTGCATGGCTTTAAGTAGCATATAATGTGGAAACGACTGCTGCAGGTCCTTTGGTTAGAAAACTCAATAAATGTTTATTCTGCAAAATGAATTATACAGCACAAGTATGTGTCATGAAGATATTACTTAGTATAACATACAATAAATGTCAAGAAAAAGCCAAGGAATGACAAAGAAATTAAAAGCCTTGTAAAAACCTCTGGACATCTCACAAGATCAGATTGCACATTAAAGAAATATGAAATGTTGTTTTACTGCATTTATAGGAGGATCTAGTAAAATGAAGCTAGGTTCCAGCACACTTGGCTGTCTGAGTAACAGCAGTGTCACCAAAACTCAGAAACCCTTGTATTTCAACTCTGGGCCACACCTGACTCCCCATCCATTAATCAAACACGTGCTTCATGGAAGCATGAATGGAATGCAGAGACATGGAAGTCTTCCAAGCTCTGTGAGAAAGATGGGCCTAGAACACTAAATACAGTCTATGGCCTTAGCTTATTTTTTAATAAAGCTTACTTTTAAAAAGCGAACTTTTTACCTGGAAAGTGCTGAAATTCTATCTAGAATTCTCTTGGCCAGTAAACAGGTTACATTGTAGCTGTGGGTAATTATGCAGTTCACTTCTAAGCAATGCACAAAATCAATTTTAATTAAAAAATCATTTATGCTGGACTGAGCCATGCCCATTTAGGAAAAAAAATATATTGACCCAGGAAAGTTCAGTCCAGATGCAGAATTCACTTTCTCAGTAGCACCCAGCTCTTTCAACCCAATTTTCTAATCTGATTGACAGAAGGACAAAGAGGTCAAATGATTTGTACAATGTCAGACTCATGTGGAGCTTATCCCCAAGATCATCTTGACGCCCTGTCTTTTGTTATAACAACTTAACAGATAGCTTCTATCCATTTTGGTCTTTAGTATCCTCCTTTCTGGAACAGGTTGTTCAGTTCTGTTCCCACCAGTCACGTGACAAATGCTCTGATCCCTTTGAAACCAGGCAAGGCAAGGATTCAAGAATCAAACTAGGACAATATTTACTCATGGCTTACCTTAAAATACACATAAGTCTTACAGAAGTTAACTACACTTAAATGAATGCTTATAGCTGGCATGACACAAAAAGATGTTTTGGTTTTGGTCCCTGTGAGCATTCATAAATTCTGGGAAAATTATTTGATTGCATTTGAATACTGGAAAGATTTGCTACACCTGTCTTAAGTGCATGTGAAACAAATATTCATTTAGTCTCTTGAAATAAGACTACAGTGTCGCCACTGATTCTGAAAGATGGACCACTTTATAAGATTTAATGTTTTTATTCCCAGAGCTGTTACAAGAATTTGAACTATTAGACTACCATGCAGATAACATCAGGGATATTGTTTCACCTGGAAAAGTGACTTAATCCTATGCTGCCAATGTAGGAAGAACTCAATTTGGACAAAAAAGGTGAATGTATTCATTTTCAGTATATGGAACATGTAAGGACCTTGCCAAGCTTGGTTCTTGCACAGGTGCAATGTAGATCATTAAGTGTTAAGACACCAGTATCAAAAGCTGCTTGCTGTGCTTTTTTGTTACCCAGCAAATATAAATAGCAAACCACACTCACCACTACGGAGTAGTTTGGCACTCGTGTGGTCTGTTACAAACCATTATGTTTCAGTTTGGCTTTCACACTGATGCAGAACTGAAAATTACAATCTAACATTTTTCTTTACTATTTTTCTGGTGTTAAATATGGAAAAACATTCACAATAAAAAGTGCAGAAAGTGTAGCAAGGCTGGTTCCCAAAAAAACAGACTATACTCAGTATATACATTTTCAGGTGACTTTCTGGCAGATTCCTGTGATAAAACTGCAAAATGCAACCATTTTTTTTCTGGATTTACTCTCTCAATCGTTGCTTCTACATAGACAGCCCTTCAAGAGTTCTTTTCAAACCTGTCATCTCACAGAGCTATAGACCAGAAAGAACTTCTAAACCTGGAGGGCAAAGAAAACCTTTCTAATGCCACTCTAATATGTTTGCAAGAGCCTTTCTCTGGAAGCTAAATAAGAACAACTTAATGTACAAATAGGGTTCAAAAAAAAGCCCAAACATTCAGAAAAAAGAAAAAAGGAAAGCTGCCTACGTACTGAGGAGATAATAAGTGGATGCTGACAAAAATTGATATTAAACTATCCCAGGAAGACATTGTTTATCCTTCTCTCTCTTTCCTATGCTTCTCAATTGGAAGTGCACCTTCGATGACATGACTGCTCAGCACAGGGGGAGTATGCACAAATATTAAAGAAGAAGAAAACACCTCCTGTTTTCATGTCTAATTAAGTAGATGTTAGGCTGTAGTTTCTGCAAAATTGACATAAATTATATACAATTCAAAGTCAGACTGGAAATACCATGAGAAATGTTTTTTCCTGTTCTGGATCCTAGCTTTTCTACTCCCCATGAAAGGAACAAGTGAAGAAAACAAAATGGTGATCAATACATGTGCATATACATACCCCATAGGTTCAAATGTTGGGAGCTCACCAGAAGCACAAGTTAGATTAATTTTGAGAGAAGAATGCAAACCAGCTATTAGTGTATACATATATTTTTTAAAATGCTTTCCTACAAAAGAAGCTAATTTGGATAAGGACTTAAGTGTGATGAAGCAAGGGAAGAAAAAGTTTGTAATTACCTGAAGAATGCTGTTCAAAAAATTAAAGAAAATTCTTTACTGGAGCAGTTTGAACTAAGCTCTCTTTTGCTTAAGATACTAGTGCATATATTCTTAACAAATCTTAAACACTTACTGTCATAGTCCTGGAGATTTTCAATTGCTGCTAACAATCTTGCCCTGTCTTCTGGGTTTGAAATATTTAGTTCAGTAAGGTGGCTTTCCTGTAGATCCTTTAAGTCCTCTAGAGTTTCATAGCCATTCAGCAGGAGGGTTGAGGCATATTCCTATGAAAGGAAACAAGCAAATTCTCTCATGGAAGCAAGCTCTGTGTTTAGTAGAGGAACAGGTACTATCTCACTTTTTGGCCAAGACGAAATGAGCTCCATTCTCCAGTCCAGTTGCCTGACCTTTGCCAGAGGTGGAAAGCAGGAGGGAACAGAGGCAGAGATGCCTGGGAATCCTCCTGGCCATGCCAGCATCTGTGCCTGAACTCCACAGCACAGTCAGCAGCACACAGGACCAGGGCAGAGCTCTGTCAGAATTATTTAATCTGCTGAGTGTCTGGACTGTTGTGGGTCACTCCATGAGTGTCTCCCACACTGAGCCCAGGAGGGCTCTGGGGAAAGGAGTGCTCTGCCTTTTCACAGGAGGAACCCTCGATAAGGGGAGAAGCAGAGGGTGCCCTTGTCCCTGCTGTGTCACACAAGGTCCCCCTTGAGCTGTGTGTCAACTCAGTACAAAACTCTGTGCATGCTCCAGGGAAAGGAGTGTTTGCATCAGCAGCAAAGCAATTACCCTTATTAAAAATGTTACTTGTAAATCATGACCTCATTACACTTTGACACTCAGTCAAGATCTAGGGTTGCAGAGAGGGGGAGAGGCGCAACATGAGCATAGTGCAAAAACACTATTGCTCCCTAAAGATTACAAGAAATTGGAAACACAAATTCTCAGTTTTGGCACTGGAGTCAGACTGCAGGCCTGTCCCTGAGATGTCCACAGCCACACATCTGCTATACTTAGGCACACAACTGCAGTCAGGCTGACCTGACAAGTCTCCAGCGTCCCTCTCTGACCGGAGTCTCCTAGCCCAGCCACATGATGAGGTAAAATGCAGTTCTATAAACCACTCATGATGCCTTTCCTGGTTTTAAAAATTGAGGGTCAGATATGGTTAAGGGATTAGGGTTTTTTAACCTCAGTATTTTAATAAGAATCCTTATTGGTGCCTCACTTGGCCAAGGTGGAATGCACCGCAATGCACACACGATAGATTGCCTATGTAATTTATAGACCTTACAAATTAGCATATGTGACAAGGATACCCCAATGGGAGGCCTGGATGAATGGTGTGATACTCCCCCATCCATGGAATTTCCCCCTGGATGGTCCAAATCTCCAGTTCACAGGATATGTTCTGGAGAGAACCTTGGTTTCCCAAGACAGAGCTTTCCAGCCTCCTATTACGAGGCCTTTAGGATGTTTGGTCTCCTGGCCTGACAGAATACTAAGCTAAGTTATCAGACTTAAGGAGTTACAGTATGCATGCCAAGAGTACTGAGGATACATAGAAGTTATATAAAATGCATATAAAAGAAAAGGCAAAAAATCATCTTGGCATCTTTCATAGATGAAAGACACGAGGTTGCTTTGCTTTGCTTTGCTGACATCAAAACTGCTGAAACCTGCCTTTCTCCTCCTGCCTGTAAATGACATTCAAACCCAAGTGCACAGAAAGGGAACACTTCAAACAGAGCTGGGAAATGCCTTGGCTGACCTGCAGGTGGACACATTCCAGGAGCTCTTGCAATGTTTTAGGCTTGGTTCTTTTCTTTCCTCTGTGTGGGTTTATCTTTCTGGGTGCAGCTTCTTCTTCCAAGATAATATCCACGTAAATGAACTTGAAATTTCCTACTTTGTTGTTCAGCATGCCTGTCCATATGCCCATGGGAGTTTTGCAGATGATATCTATGATGTCTCCTTTCTAGAACAATAAAAAAAGCACACCACTGCTTACACCTCTGGTTTGTTTTATGTAGCTTTTCCTCTATAGACAAAAACCAGCTCTAGTCAGTGCAAAGTAACTTTTTTTAATTACCTAGATTTAGTGTCTTTGCTTTTATAAAATCCCAGGAAAATAATTACAGAAAGTGGAGCTAGTCCTTATCTCCAAACCTTTCTGAAGGAGAGGTGAGCATAAGCAGCCCCTCTCACTATTTTTGTGCTCCACTTGGTCCCTGAAAAGGGATAGGGTTACATCAGCAATTAACTTTTGTCATGGGCAGTGGGCACAGTTTTGGCAAAAAGCAAGGGATTACTGTAAGGTTATTTTCAAAATATGTGCCATAGCATTTACAGAATAATCTTATTATCTAACCTCTCAAGTGTCTTCAAAAACAGATAGCTGATCTATGTGAAAGGTGGACTCCTACCTATTTTACAGTAAAAAAACACTAGCTACATTTCTCAAAGATAATAAAGAACATTTAACTCATCAAACATGAGTGCTTAAAAGGGTGACAGCACAGCTATTTCAAGAGGGCTTTTTGGTAAAAGTTTTCACAGCAACACTGTGGGAACCAAGGTCTCAGCTCAGGAAAACGACCGTTCTGAGTAATTCTAACAGTAAAAAGGCTCTCACAAAGTCATGCACCCTACACAACTTACTCCACAAGGACCTCAAAAATGAGCCCTATCTTCTTGGCATCTATCACAGAAAAATGTTGAAAGCCTTTGAAGAATTATCCAACAAATGCCAACTTCATTTGGGATTCTGTTACAAAGTTAGAAATTAAACTGTTTGTTAAGATGTGTCCACAGTTCCAAGACTTACATCTTTTCTGGTCTGGTCAAGGAACAGGGAGTCAAGTGGTCACCCTAGTTTTGGTACAAACCCAAGTACAAAATTGACTGTGAGCTGGTGACCTGCTGGTGACCTGCTTTATGTAGAACGTGGGGCTCAGAGCTGTGAGCACATTTGAAATGGAAACTAAACAAACATTTATTTAAAGGTCACATAATAAGCACACGTTATTCTACAAACTCATGCAAGCTCAGGAGCTTCAGATGTGGATGCAGGTCAGGATTAGGCAGTGGCTCCAAGCCAAGCTGCAGATGCACTTTAAATTCAGATTCAAGATACTGAAATTTTGTGTGATAAATAATTAGGATTTCAACCCTAAGTATTGGTTTATAATTACAAAATACAACACCCTAGTGATTAAAAAAGAAACCTATATGAGCCAGCAGATATTTGCCATTTCATGATCAGTTAAATAGTTTAAACTGTTGAACTGTATTAAAAGAAATGAGCTAGATGTGGGTGGAAGTGGAGGGCAAGTGCTGAAGAATACAAGTACAGGCAGAGCAACAGTTGTCATGTAGAGAGGAGGAGAGGAGGAGAGGGATTCTGTGTGAGATACAGGATTTGGCAAAAAAGAAGAAGCTGTGAAGAAGAAAAGAATCTGAAGGGCTGGGTTTTTTAGTAATGTTCAACTGGGCCCCTCTTTGTTGTTCCTCTTCTTCACTCATACGTCCCAGATACCCCTTGCCATCTCTGGGCTGAAGAACATTCACAGTTCAAACATTGGCTTAAAGAAAAGTTTAATGGAAAGGAAAACTGTTTTTATTAAAGACAATGGGTGCCACTGAGCTCTGGATATATCCTAGTTGTGACTAGGAAAGCTTGGAAGACAACTTCACATCCCATGAGACTTTACTCTTTCTTACTCCAGACCACGTATGTGGTAAGTAGCATGTATTTTACTCTGAGGAAAGCTGGGGTATGTGGGGAGATACCATGATGAAGTTCTTATCTGGAATCTGTGCCTTAAAAAGCCTTTAGCAGTGCGTGGTTTTGCAGCCTTGTCTGAACTAAGCCCTTATAGAAGCATTGCGAAACCAGATCAGCCTTGCTTTTAGAGATTTCCACATGCTTAAGCAGTTACAAATTAATTATTAAATGTATTATTTACACTTAAAAATTGGTCTCCCAGGCATTGTTAGTGGGAAAGGAGGAATCCTGGTGGTTGTCTTACCTTGATTTTCAGCGAGTCAGTGTCATAGGGACTCGGTGTGAAGTCGGTGTGGACTTTGGCTCGGCCGCAGAAGGGCCCGTTGTACGGGACCTCGTCGTCAAAGCGCAGGCTGTCCCTGTTGCTCGTGCCATCGGAGCAGCTGGTCACCCCACCTGGGAGAGAGACAGCTTGAGACACCCCTGCACCAAATGCCCAGACATGCAACTCTGCAAGCAGCCCGAAGGAAAGAGTTCCAAACCACAGAAACAGAGACAGAGGGTATTCTGTGTGGGTTTGACAAGTTCCAGGATAACTACATTCAATGAAAATCATGCTGTAAGAGACAGAAGAAAATGGGTAGGAGATCTCTCATTAATATCTTCCCTAAAGTAATCTTTTTCTGGTGATGATACTAATAGACTACACATTTTATTTACAGACTTTTTGAAATATTACCTCTGCAGATTAATAAAATGTACCCTAAAAGTGCAATTTAGGGAATTAATTCTGCTGAACTTCTCCTGTTTATTCAGAGAAATGAAAACAAGTACTGTAGAAGTTATTTTATTTCATTCCAGAGCTAGCTGAAACATCAAAGGAACCTGCATTGCAGAGGGAAAATTTTAATCTTATCAACATTTCTGCCTGTCATTTTATCCAAGCTGAGCAATAAAATATCAGCAGAGTAATTCAAGCAAATTTGAGCAAGCTCTGCAGTATCCCATCCAAATATGTTTTTAGATAAGAGCAGCGGTGTGTTGGAAGTAAACTCCTATATACGATTTTCACAAATCACGTCACAGAAAATGATCATAAAAAGGGTTTTGTTCGAGGTGATTGCTTAAGTGCACAGTTCCATCCCAGGGCCAGATTAACTCTAAGTGCAAGTGGTCTGGACTGCAGCTCCAGTCTGCACTCAGGGCTCAGGCAGTGGCTGCAGGGTGGCACAGCAGTGTCACCAGGGATAGCGGTGACCTGCACCCAGCAAATATCCACAGCAGAGCACACAGAGAGAGGTGGAGGCACATTTCTCATCAGAGATCCTCTGCCCTCCAACTGAGACTACCCTGGTGGGGAGGGTTTTCAGGTGGGCTGTGTCTCTGCATCATATCCCAAATCTGCCAGGCCAGACCCACACCCCACACATCTCAGAGAGATTTTGTCTGCCTCATCTCCAGGGCAAAGGATGAGCTCACAGCCAGTCTGCCAGGAGAGGATGCTTGTGTGGCTTCACCCAGTGATTGCAAACCCAGCATCACGGCAGTGATAACCCCACAAAAATTTATGGTATATATATATACCAGCAATATGCCCTATAATTCATGCCTCTTTTTTTCTTCAGTTAGCATTTCCACTCTTAAAAACACTCAACTTATTTCTGGATAGATGTTTACCTACCCCAGCTGCTACCCATTTAACCAAATTACACTTTTGTCTGCCAGATTGAAGAGCTCTCTACCATCACATTTTTGATCACCAGCTCTGATTCCACAGACATAAGCAATAACTATATTGATCCAGTGAATAAGAAGTATAGGTGTCTTGTACTTACTTGATGAGCTCTGGCCACTGTTCAAACTATAAAGACTTTCCAAAGAGTCACTGGTTTTTAGGGAGACCTTCTCAGTGTGTGTTCCACCACCAGGATCACTGTCATCTTTCCCCTCTTCATTCTTTAACACAAAAATCAAATGTTAACCCCCAAGAAATGTATTTTGGAGAAATATTTTTTGTCTGTTTTAAAGCATCATTGGAGATTAGCTCATCATTGCAGTTTATTAAGAACTCTTTTGTGAGAGTAGGCATTTTAGAACTTTGCCTGGTACTAACCATGCCCAACCATCACCCCTAGTATTTTATGATCCTGGAGAAATTCCCTGTCTTGTTTCTGTCCCACTCACTTCATCCCATCCCTGCTCAAATTGCTAAGCTAGGAAGACTGCAATACACCATGGCAGAGCTGAAAGCTTGTAATGGGAAATTTGTAGGCAGCCTGATAAGATTTTGTCTGCTTGTCTCAGAGAGGGAAATACAAAGCTCAGTTCTGAAAGCAGGTGGTGAAGAGCTGGCTGACACAGCTGTGTTTTGCACTGAGCTTCTGAAGATGGTGGTTACTTGGTGGCAGGCTGGGGACAGCTTGCACACACATAAGGCACTGGTGTGTTCTAGCACCGTGCTCACCACACTGCCCAACATTCACCCTGTCCTCAAAATCCAGTGCATTTCAGAATTAAAAGGTACATCTTTCTCTCACAAAGTCTAATGGTGTATGAAATTGTCCCCTTGAGTTTATACCACTAAATCACACCTCAGGAATCCCAGCCTGCTCAAAACAATAAGATCCATATTTCAGTCACAGTTAAGTTAGAGAGGATGTAACAGATACATGAAATAGGGATGATCTTTCAAAGCGAGAGATTTTTCAGCAGAATTCATCATGTTGCCAGTGCATGTGATATCCTGATGCAACTGAAACTTCTTTCAGCACATTGTATTTGGGAAAAAAATTAGTTATTCACCAGTCAAATGATGAAGCAAAGGTGACAGTGCAGGTGTGAAGTAGAGACCCATATAGATACATATCAGACACTGAAATGAAGAACTACACTGGTTTTCAGCAAGAACAGTGCTTGTTACACCAGCCAGCAGAATAACAGATTAATCAGGAGGCTGATATTGATTGTCATCATCTCCTGCAGGAATGAAGATCATGCTACATGTGTGTTCATCCAGATAATCCATTGAATTTCTGTCATGGAAGTTGCTGCTTTAAATGTGCAGAAAGGAAATATAAAAATATAATACAATGATCATGGATTGCATTTAAAAAAAAAAAAAAAAAGAAAACTAAACTAATGAAATACAGATCTTTGTCCTAGTCCTCCAAAATCTGTTTAAGGCTATCCTGTGAGAATTACTTTTTATTTGTGAGGTTCCTCATTTGACATGTTAGATAGGATGCAGACTAGCTAGAACTAGATTTTTTTAGGATTGTTAAGTGTGACAAGTTTTTTTCCTTATGTTTTGAAATTTTGGAACTTACTGACACAAAGTACTGAGAAAACAGGATTTTCAGTATGTGCAGGATATGTTTTTTATGTTTAATAAAGATAGTTTCACTAAGATTAGATAAGGTAGAAGGAGATAAGGCATATGACTTGGAATTCTCTAGGATGCTGGCTGACCTTTACAAAATGGGCTTCAGAAATAATTATTGTATTGCGAGATGAATTCTTCTAATGAGGCTTTTTGTACAAACTGATCATCAGACTGATGATGGGGTGCAGCCAATACTCCCCTGTGTCCACATGAGGAGGTTTTCTTGTGCTCATACACACATGCTCATACAAATGTTCCTTGATGAAAAAGCAAAATTAAATGATGTGAAACTCTTATGACTCTCCTGGGCCCTTACTATGTGATTTGTGTGTACACTAAAATTCACATGAGAGAAAAGGTACATGCCAAAAGTTGGCTTAATTCAGTATGTGTTGTTATCCTGGTTTTATGATTTGTCACAACTGAGGACAGTTGAATCATGAACAGAAAAAAATGCACATAATATTTTTACTTCAAATGTATTTCCAACAAACACAAGGCTCTTAGGCTGTATTTACCATCTCCTCAGACAGTGCCTTGATGTATTTTTTACCCATCTTTTTCTTCATGGTAAGTGAAATGGCTCTCATCTTCTTACTCAGACTTCCTCCATTGTTTGCTGCTTTGATTTGCATTGCTTCCCCAATGTCACTTATAGTCTCCAGCTCAGGTGTCTGTTTTGAAATCAAAAAGTAAGCAATAACTCACCACGAAAATAAAATGCAGTATACTGAATAAGGAATTACCAGGAAATATTTAGGACACTAACAGAGTTAGCATGACAAAATTCAGTCATAGCCATTTTCCTTGGAAACTGTGTACCTAAACAGGTTTGCAGCACAATACTCTATGCATGAATGACAGAAAGAAAATATATTTTATGGTAGGTAAAGTTGTTTCTCATTATTTATTGACCCTAATATCAATCAGAATTGAGGGAATTTTTGCAGAGGTCTTGAAAACTAAAGTGAGACATCTGTGAATTACTTGTACAATGCTGGTTACTTTGGGCATGGATCAATGTGAAGTGCACTTTTTAATTTTTAATTTTTTTTTGTATTGTTTCTATTTTCACATCAAAGTGCCAAAGTTTAGGTGTGATTCTCTTGTTTGTTTTGTCAAGGCCTCAATCACTCAGACTGATGCAGCTATTCAAGCAAAGTTCTCACCACTGTAAAATTTACACCATAGCTTCCCAATGGTTTTGCATAACTGTCATGGGAAAAAGAACTGCAGAAATTTAAGGTTTGTGTTCTACAGACCTCAGCTGAATCATCTGTCTTTGATATTGAGTGATGCCTGAAACGGTCAAAGCTTCCAAAGCTGCTTGTGCGCTGTAAAAGAAGAGAAGACAAACCTTGACTCACTGGTGTTGGTTTGCTTTGTTCTGTTGCAAAGACTTAAATAAAACTGTCAAGCCACCTGTTGGTGTTAAAAATCCCTCCCATATCAGTGGACCATGAACTGCTACATCCAGCTAGAAACAAAATACGAGGTGACTGTAGGGGAAAAAAATTGTGACTGTAGAGGCAGAAGTAGAAAAATAAGGAAGAGAAACAATACTGCTTCAAATACTAATTAGGTAATGGATATGATTATGAGTTCTTCTACATCTGTTTCACATTACTTATGTATGTAAATAACCATGTATTATTTGCTGGTAAAAAAGACTTTTTTATGAGTTTCAAAGTAACAAAAGGTGTTTTCATAAATATGATACAAGCAATAGATTTGGTTTTGGTGGTGTAAATTGTGTCAATTTATATAATGCATTTTTGCAGCTGGGGAGACAATTTAAGGTTCTTTCCCATCAGGAATGAGCAAAAACTGCTGAGGATTATGAATACATCTTGTCCAAAATGCACACGAGGGAGTCACAGAATCATCAAGATAAGCCTTATGCTTTTCTTCCAAATTAAAAATTCTGTTTTTTAAACATAAATGGGTACAATTTTCTGCCATGCCACAGCTTCATTTGGCTTAACAAAGCTGCATTACCTGAGCTGTGCATTAAGAGACAGTGAATGGATTGCCCTGACTTCCTTCTAGTCTTTACTCTTTCTGCACGTGGATAAATGACATGGAAAGGTGGGAAGTGGCACAGCAGATTTTGAGGAGTGGGGTCCTACAGAAATACCTGTCAGACATGCCCAGGCAGAGCTGCCTGACACTGCACTACCCATATTGGAAAAATGCATAAAATTGGCATTGATGACAAGTCAGGAGTCCCTTTAAGTGTGGACCTAGAAAGAGAATTTGGACATCTATCCACTTGACAACGTCTTTAAGAGCTTGTTTTTATGTCTTCACCAATACTCACAGCTAAATCTAGAATGAATTGGGGTTTTTTGAGTATTTCCTTCTTCCATACTAAATGAAAGTTTTTAATGAATTATGAGTTCTTGAGGAGGGTTCACTATTATATATGAGGCAATATAATCGCAGACTATTTTCGAGTATTCAAAATCCCCTCTGGAGATAAAAAAACACTGAACTAAAATAGCAAATCACAAATTAAATACATTCTGTCTGATTTAATAAGTGATTTCAGGCTATCTGGGCTACAGCTTTTCCTGTACTTATTCATCCTTTTGCCTTGCCCATGTGATTTCAGCCAAACTAGTTCCTTGTTCCATTGCTTTCTTCCCCACCCCCCCCAGCCACATGAGTCATATTTTCATCTCCCCCAGGTTTCTAAAGCACCCACTGTGCACTCTTCACCTGGCATCTCCAGCTCCCTGCTTTTGCTGTCAATCCAGGAACTTCACAAGCCTCAAAAGGCTTGTGAGCTCCCAACTTTCCTATTACAGAGTTCCAATCTTCTCCACCAGACAAGAATTGTCACGAGGCAGCCTCAGGAGCAACAGAGGTAGAATATCCTTTGGGCAACACAAGTGGAGGAGCAAAGGACTGGTTTGGGAGCTTTGCCTGCCTTCACACTGCAGGCATACTTGATGCTGGCATGGACCTGCATCCAGAGAAGTTAAGGAGAAATCCCTCCTTGATGCATTTCCCTGTTTTCCCAAACTTATTCATTAACCAGTTCTGCCACCTCCCCCAGAAAATGAATGTGGACATAGCGGTGGGAGCCTGAGCAGAGTCAGATGGAACAGAAAAGTCTACCCATATTTTGGGTCCATATTCTAAGCAGTGTAGCTTAAAAGAATAATAACATCCTCTTTTTTTACCCTCCCTATATTTCTGGGCACATCTAAACTGGAAAATATTTACAGCCAAAGGTTATTTGAAGAAAATGACCCATGTTTGTGAATATTTTTGGACAACTATAATGACATTTACTACTCACTGAGGAAAAAAAAAAAAAAAAGACAAAAATCATACAGCTCCTCTTAACTGATTGTAAAATCTCTGTTGTCTAAACATTGTGGTTTATTTGTTTGTTTTACATTGTGAACTTGAAAATGACAATTTGAATTGTACATTTAATTTTATCTAAAATTCCCATAAAGAGCTTTGCTATGAAGTAGATGAAGAACATCCTGTGACAAGGGGTTAGCTCAACAGTATGATATAAAAACACAGCCCAGAGGATTATGGTTCTATTAGACAGGATTAACACCTTTCACTAGCTTGTCAACCCAGCCAAATGTGCCCTGCAGCACAGAGCGGGAGGGAGAAGGGAGCCTGGGATTCACAGCAATACCGGGAAGGGAAAGTATAAAATTGTCTCAGCAATCTCTAAACATACACTGACCTTTCTGTTGCATTCCAACACTTCAATATGTCTAGTAGGAATAAGTGTATATTAAAGTGCAGATGTGCTGGAAATAGTTTAAAAGGAACAAGAGGGAAAACATTGTTTAGTGTTGGTCTTACCTATAAACAGCTTGAGCACAGGGAAATCAGTTATTCTTTTTTGACCCTCCAAACAACCTTATATTCAGCATGTGCAGGAGCCTTGGGCTATTTGGTAGTGTACTTCAATGTTGCTTCATCCTCATTAAATATTAATAAGGGTTACAGGATGATTTCCACTGTTCTAGATAATGGTCTTGCTGCACTGGAGAGCAGTGAATAGGGCTGCTTCAGCACTTCTCTATACTAACTTTTTCCATTAAGTAATCAATAGGCACCACCTTTTAAAAATGTATCCAACCCCATTATACTGATAATGAAAAGCAGATTTAGGAGCTCCTGGCTGCAAAGGGAATGGGACTATTACTTTCAGTAGTGTCAGTCACTGCATTAGTGTCAGGGAACACCTACTTTGTGAAGATATGGACAGGCCTTATTTCCAGGTGAAGGGAAGCTTTTAAAGTAAATGCAAAGCTACTAAGAGAAAATACGCTATTGACTTTTGATACCAGGATTCAGCATCCTATAAAGTTAAGTGGTTTTTCTGGCTCAATTCATGCAAGAGCTACCCAGGGATATGTTAAGCAAATACAAATTTGCTCACTAAAATCTAATGGAGGCATGGGCAGAGGGAGAAACAACTGTGTTTTCCCGCACAAGTACTGATCAAATAATTTCTATAAATCAACACATTAAATTTCATCTCTTCACATTCAGTATTCCAAACTAACATAATAGAAAACATCAAAGATACTTTTAAGTATTTGAAAACCTTCTTCCATCTTCTCCTATATCATTTATTCCCTGAAATCCAGGAACTTTAAATAATCCTTTTAAAGGCATAAGTGCTATGTAATTGTTGTTTATTTTAGTTTGGACAGTCTGCAGTTGATTGTCTGGTTTGTCTGTAAATAGCCTATCATTTTTCCTAGAAAATAATATGGTATGGTATGCAAATAGTAAGACAACAAGTTCTGCAATCCATCTCTTTCTGTTTTAAAACATCCTTCCCTTGTAGGGCATATCATAGGAGAAGTTCTTGTCTGTGACAAACTAGTCAGAGCTTCCCTGTGTCTAAAAACAACCTTTGAGCCCAAACTGACTGCAGTTATCCTGATAAATAATCATTATGGGAGATATCTATCCCATATTTTTCTTCGGACAATTCACACTGCTTAGCAATCTGGTTGCCTGCTGTCAGAAATTCTGGCCCATTATATTTTGCTTCGAGTCCTATTCAAAATATCTTTTAAGTCCCTCGTGTCAATGGCTTTGTTCTGACCCTCTCACACAAGTAAATCTCTTCAAATTACTCTATGCATTTTAATTTTTAGTTTCCATTCATCCTTAGACTACCCAAACCATGTAAGCTGTATAGGGGCAAACGTGGACACTAGAAGTGATAAAAAGGGAGCTCAGCATGTTGCTCAATTTCCTTGCCTGCCACAGACACTTGTCTTCTTCCCTCTTTTTTGAAAGCAGACACAGCAGCCCTCAAGAGAACAGCCTGTTCTTGCTGCTCTGATTGATGGAGATAAGTGGAGATCAGGATTTGATTCATTTGTTCTATTCTCTGATGGTTCTAGTCCCTTCAGAAGGAGGAGACCACTCTGAGAATAAAAGTTACCAAGTAGGGATGAATATTTCCACTCTGCTAGCTTATCTTCTTGCATAGATAATCAAAAGAATTGTCTCCTACTTTCCCAGATGGCAAGATAGCAATTTATAGCTTTTTGGATGTTCTGTGGAACAAAACCCCACAAACTAAACGCCACCAAAAAAAAGTCACTTTTGTATAAAGAATGAGAATTTGCATAAAAGATTAAGCAACAACAAAAGAGAAAACACCATGACCTCTCTACCACTGGGAATTTTTCCCTATTTACACATTAGTTACACATACAGAACTTCTGACCACTAACCAAGACATTAATATAACTTTATAGCCCACATGAAACATGGCCTAAACCTTGCACTTCACCAGTCAAAAGCAATAAAAAAGATACAGCTTGTTCCTGCTAACTCAAATAGAGCAATCTACTGAAATGGCATTTTTAACTGGCTTAAAAATGACTCTATAAAAGACTGGTTGTTATCATGGCCTGGTGCTCAGTAGCTGCATGGAGGTGGGGGAGAGAGGGGAGCAAAGTGGACTTTGAACAGAACCGCCACCATGAAGCCTCAGACCAAAGACCCTAATTTTAACAGTGGAAAAGGACTGGAAAAGCAAAGCTGAATTAAGAAATTGAGGTAATCATACCTAACACGCCTCCAGGTGAACAAACTGCACTCTCCAAAGTAAACACCGAGCAGCTGTTTTATCAGTGCCTCTAACTGGTACCAGCCTCTCAAGCCTGCATCCCTGCTGACACGAGGCAGGTAGTTCCCAATATCCCAGTCAGAGTCACCTCTGGAAGCCCAGTCTCCAGTGCCTCCCAGGGACACCTTGCCCTGGACAGGCTCTGGGCCAGCTGAGAGAAAGGGCAGAGCTGCTGTTCCTGAAGTTAAACCAGGGTGG